ATGTTGACCTAATGGTGTCATGTTATTAAATTATGTTATAACCAACGAAAAATATTTAATCTTGTAGTGAAAGCCGAGGGCTATCTCTTAAACGCCAAACTACCCTAAGGTCTTACAGTGGAACCTCGATTAAACTAACCTCTGTATAACGAAGTCCTCGGTATAACGAATGATATTCTTCGCCCCAGTAATAGTAAGATATATGGAAAAGATCCCCGATATAACGAGACCTCCGAGTTATGGCGAAAAAATTTTACCAGTCCCTTGGCCCTTCGTTACATCGAGGTTCCACTGTATTAGAACGAAACCTCAAGGGGGATCTCAAAAGTAATTTAAAACCGAGTCTGCCTTCAATTTATGATATATTTTAAAAATTTTGACAAGATTTTTTGTAAGTGAAAATTGCTGTGATGCCGTTTGGACAAATAGACATGAGCCTCTGCACGAGCCAGATTTGGGACACGCTCCATGATAAAGATCTGCTCAATTTCTGCGGAAACACACTGTTTCTATCGGCCTATAGTATAAATCTACCAGCATTCTATCGCGAATACCGTTCTCTGATTGGCTACGCTACTCACTATCTATTCTCTTGTATATAGTGAGTAGCCCAGCAGTGTAGTAGTTAACAAACTGGCGGCCACTCCTTTGCGTTTTCGAAGTCTCTATTAAGAGGATTTAGATAAAGTTTTGAACGACTAGCAGAGGTGCTAGTAAATTTACTAAAAAAGCTGTTACTCGCTATTGATTTCTATCGCGTGACAGTAGACTCGGGCTGTGCCCTCGTCAACTCAGTCACGCGATTGAAATCTCGGGCTCATAATCAGTCACGCATTAGAAATCTCGAGCTCATAACTGTTATCATCAATCAAAAACTTTATTTTACTTCGAATTTCCTGATAGCAAAAACATGCTAATATCTCCGAAGAAAATAAATTCACATAGTTAAAACTAAAAAATACACATAATAGATACATTCATCAAAATTTGTTAGCAACTGATTTAGGAAATGGATAAGAATAACCAAATAAAAATGTGTAATATATACATGAGAAATTTAACCGGCTACATTTAAGATTAGTATTTATCACAAAATGAACAGCATTCCTCGTCCAAATCTGAAGTTTTCAGTGCAGTTTAAAAGCAGTAAGAGATGTGGATACACGAACACTATCCGGCAATGAGTTCCATAGTTTGCTAGCATAATAACCGCGAAATGAGTGACGACCATACTTTGTTGTATTAGACTGTTAAATAGTTTGCCTCAACTCTCCTATCAAAAAGCAAGCAGCTGGTTGTGTTTGAATAGCCTGAGCCAACCCATTTTCCAAAAAATATCGATAAAACCGACTTTTTTGACGATGTCTGTGGCGTTGAAATGCAGACCCAGCATACATCATGTAACCTTGGTAACAGCTTCTCTCAAACAGTAAGCCAAGTTAGTCATCCGGAACCGCATGATATTTCAACAAGCGTGTGAGTACTCACGTCATGCATTTCTGAATTTTGTCTACATGACCCTACATCGACAGAAATCCAGCATTTTACAAGTTCACGTGATAAGCGTACCTGCAACGGATGTCAATAGAATGATATTAAATTTAAAATATAAGGTTTCACACCTAATGTCAATGACTGCTCCCAGAACTATATCGTCAACACGTGTATTTCAGGTCCAATGTGACTTTGTCACGTTTATTTCTTTATTTCATTAATGTTTATACCGCGGAAAACAAAGAAATTAAAGGACCATTCAGTTGTAGCCGCAACTGAAAGCAATGCAAATGCTTGGCAAAATTTCCTTTGGTTATTATCATAACAGCTTAACAATACTTGTTAAACGAATATCTGTGATTCGTGCGGACAACAAAGAGTGTCTAAGTGGATGTCATAACCCGGTGTCAACACCCACAGCTATTGTTTGATAATCACGCACCATGTCGTGACCTGTACGTGATGGATATAGACTGAAGTCCGCATTTCTGTTTCTCATTTCATCTCTGTTTTCACAGGAGACACATGATAGTTCAGCAGTGAGTGCAGACGTCCTGACTCAACAGACACAATGAGGACCCTTAGAGCAGCGACGCCGATTCCTCTGCCTTCACATTACGATGAAGCGGTTTGTCCAGAAATTTTGCCTTCAAGGAGATCAAGTATGGCTTCCACTACGACTCATCTGCCTACGTTGTGCGAGGGTTCGTTGGACTGTAACATGTTGTCAAGATTTGTGCCACCCGCATTTTCACCGTCAGAACTGGGAAAAACAGAGATAATAGCGCTTGTAGGATCGCCTTCTCATCCCAGAAGAGGACAGCTGTTTAAGTCAGCTTCAGAGAGAAAAACGAGATCTCAACAGAACAATCTCTTTCCAGACTTGAGCAGGAGAGAAATAGCTAAAGAAAACGTTGATCCCGACAAAATGCCGGCGGAATGGGTGAAAAGACTCCGACGGCCCCAGCAATACGAACTGACAAGAACAGTGTCGAATCCAGTCATTTCTAAAACGAGAAATTCTACGCTGGGTGCTAAGACGTCGAGCCCTCCAAATTCTAAAAGTTTACCACGACTTAACAGTACCGAACCCTCAAGAACGATCACCGAAAATGAACATTCTGCAGAGCTAAGAAGACACATCCAACAAGAAAATATGGACTATGATATCTTATCGACCAAAGCTGTCATCTTAGAACGCTTTCTGAATAGTCAGAAATAAGCGCACATTGAATGTGTCTTATGTTTATATTTTAAAGCATTGGATTGCCATTGCATAACTAATAATGTAGTAACCGTTCAAATGTCAGACTAAGGTCAGATTCAACTTATGCAACATCACAACATTGTTATATAACAAATCTCGTGATCGCAAATTAATTTATTTGAGGAGAAAAAGTTCTCACCGCCTTGAGCGCATCAGAAGCGCAATGAGACGAGATAGTGAAAAGAAAATTATTGATTGCGCCGGTTCGCAAACAAACAAACGCCACGGGAACAAAAAAACTGGTATATTTTCAATCAATTTTGCTAAGTTTTGTAATCAGAGGGAACTAGTGTCTCTGAAATGACCCAAGTTGGTTGTAATTCTGTTGGCGTTTTGCCTAGAGAGCAAGAGCGCTTTATAAATTGGATTTTATCGGCTGTATTATATTATTAATTGCAAATTATTGAAAAAAAAATATCTGTAAATATTTCAATAAACTTTGAAGCCTTTAAAGTGATGTTTGCAGTTGACTATATCTTTTCATCAGGTTCACCTCTACACCTGTACACTGACGGCTAATTTTAAGGGACGAGTTTTCCGCCGAGTACATGTACTTCAGCGAAAGTGCTGACAATTGTTCTTATTAGCTTCTGTGCAACAGAAAGATTCTTCATACGATTATTTTCAGTCTCCAGTTAGAACTGAGTGTTCGAAGAAAAACTATTATCCATAGCGATTCAGTTTCTACATTACCGGAAATTTTTTTTCCGATTTCGTGGTGAGCCGGCAGCTGAGTGATTCCTTAACTCATCAACATGAATACACAATACGTAGATTTTGAAGTGTTGGTCAGGGATCTAATAGTCAGCTGACTTTGATTCCCTACGGCAATTTTCATTCAAATTAAATATTTGGTGAACACTTAATTCAGTGCTCGGTTAGTATCACAAGGCTAAAATTTGGACGTATCTGAAACTTTGGCCAACTATCATGCACTCTGTCGAAATTTCGAGAAGTCTTTCTGAATGTGACATTGGACTGACAGGGAAAATAAATCTGATGATTTCAGAATCTCGTTTCTTTCTTTGAACATACATGAATACTTTTTATCTTAGAAAATATGTAGATCAAAATTTCAGTTATCGAATTTTTTCACAAAAATTTGAGTGACATGCAACATCGCACGTTTTATGCCTTGAGTACGTGCAGGCTTTGATTTCGTGCAAGGCAAAGGTCATCAAAGACAATGAAGCGACAAATTTCATATCTCTGTTACACACTTCTCACTCTCGTTCTGTTTTCTCAATAAAA